AAGGAGAGGCAGCCACGGTGCCTGCGCCTGTGTCCGTGCCGGAGGGAGCGTTAGCTGGGCCAGGGTTTCAGCCCCCGCACTGTGTGTTCAAAGGTTTCATCAGCACAGAATTCGGATTTTTAAGTGCATTTTAACAATACTTCCATTTTAAGCTTTTCACATACTCGTGCACATGCACACCCACACAAAATGCAGTTTGTCTCACTGGGTGTTTGCTAAGCCGTCCCAAACACGCGGTGCTGCTCGAGGGCTGCAGCGCCCGTCAGCAGGGCGGGCTGGGGGCTCTGCTCACCTGGAGAGCACGTGGCACCGACCACGGCTCCACCAGCCAAGGTGGCAGACGCAGATGCTCAGGGTCTTGCAGGACTATCCCTCCACATGGCAACTATTCTTAGTACAAACGCATGGCAAGAAAACAATGCAAACAGGCTGGAGATGCTGCCCAAGGTGCTCCTACAGCATCGACAAGTGCAGCAACACGGAGGTCAAGCAGCAGAACAACAGGAACCGGCCATCTCACAGAACGACGTGCTGGCACAGAGCGTCCCAGGGCCCCGGGGGGTTTCTCCCCAGCAATGACACCCCTCCTTGTCCACTTCCCTCTCTGGGCTTGGGGAGGGTGAGCTGTGCCACCCCTGCGATCCTACCACCTGCAGCTCCTTCCTGTGGTGCTGGTGCCCAGCAGCTGATTCCTGCAGACCCACGCTGCGCAGCACGAGTCCACGGGGCACTCCGCGACATCCCACCTCTGCCTGCTCTGCCCAGCCTCTTTCCAGGCTTTGCTCCTTCCTTGCATCATGCATTCAGGCAGCAGATATGCTACAAACAAGGACCGGTAGGAAAGATGCACATTGAGGTGTGTTTCTTTCATAGACAGGCTTGAAAATTTCAAATGAGGAAGGATGAAAACACCAGGAGACTGCAGAATTAGAGGCTAGCATTCCTGTGGGAATCCGACACCCAGATTTAATGATCCTGTAGGGAGGCAGCATCTTTTGGGGCTATCTATGCAACAGGAAGGTCCCAAAACTGCCATCAGTGATTGAGTCCTGAGGTACGGACTGCTGTACATAGAGGTTGCTTCATCTGAGAGTCCTTCGCCTGAAGGCGCAGCCATGCGAGTGGCACTAGGAAAGTGCCCGTGCACAGAAGTGAGACAGGGCAGTGGGCTGCGTGCGCAGGCAGCAGCTCCCACAAGGAAAACAGGAGCCAAGCGTTCCGCACGGCTGCCGAGGAGAGCATTGCCAACGGTGAGGCCGGGGGCTTTCCTCTCCGGGAGCGGCACGCAGGCATGCTCCAGCTCCCATTGGAGGGGCGCCGATGACTGACCCTGCAAACGCATGTCGCCCCACTCCTGGAGCTGCACCGGGGCTCCTACCACCTTTCCGTCTCTGTGTGATTGTGGCTGGTGTTTGCGTGGGAATCGCAGTCGCACAGCACCACGTCTCCGAAAGCGACTGACCGACGGTAACTCAACAGCAGGATGTGACCTGCTGCACAGACCTCTCAGCAGCACAGTCCCGCTCTCTGGCCACGACAGATGCTGTCTGTGTGCACAGAGCCGGCGCCGACCAGGCCTTTCTGTGTTGCCCAGAAAAAACAAGCGTGGCTGTGTAAATCTTCCTGTGTGATGTTCTTTTAAATTGCTTAACAAACTTGGACCTAAAATGCTAGAATTTCTCCTTGGAAATGAGTCCTCGGTCTTGATGCAGGAGAACAGATGAAAGGCCCTGAGGACAACTGGGAAGCTGAGCGAGGGGCTGGTGGCTGCTGGGGGATGTCTCAATGCAGCCTGCTCCCCCGGCCACTCTCACTGCCCCCGTGTGTGGGCCCGCGGCCAGGGGGTGATCCACGTCCTGTGGGTACGAGGGCCACGTCGGCAGCACATCCAGCCTCAGCAGTACATGCACGTACACCAGGTCCAGCCGTGCAGGTGTGCCACACTGGTGCGACATGCCGCCTTGAGCCTGCATCCAGGGACAATGCGGCGAGCTAAACAACTTTGTAAATTATGCTTAGAAAAATGGCACTGGAGAGCAGGCCAGCAAGGATTTCTGAACAATAACTATCTTCCTGTTATCAGGATCCCCCTGCAGATGAGGGTTATGCTCCAAACATGCTCAGCTGCAGGGGCTCAGGCATCTTCCCCAGTTACTGACTTCTGCCCTGAGCAATACTGTGACAGCAGGGACGTTCCTGGCTTGGTTCTCTGCACACAGATCTCCGATTCTTCCTGCTTATTCCCCATGCTGCACACATTGGTGTACAGGCATTTCAGAGAGCCAGTCAAACATGCAGGTTTCTCAGGAGAGGTGCAAGAGGATCCTCCATAGCCATGTCCCATGCTGTCTCCCCAGCTGCATGCACCTACTGGAGGCCTCCTGACTTGAGCGGTGTTTTACTGACTCCCCTGCCACTATACCACTCCCCTTCCCCCATCTTTCCTAGTTTAAAGCCCTCCTTACCAGGCTGGCCAACCTGTTGGCAAAGACACGCGTGCCCCGCTTGGTAAGGTGGATCCCATCTCTCCCCATCACCTGTCAATCTTCAAACAGGGTCCCATGCTCATAGAAACCGAAACCCTGTTGCCAACACCAGCAGCGCAGCCAGTTGTTAGCTAGGAAGTTGCATCTACTCTTCCCCATCCTTCCATCCTTCCCCCTCACAAGCAGGAAGGAGGGGGGAGAAAGTGACCTGGGCTCCCAGACCCTTGACCACCACCCCCAGAGCTCTGAAGTCCTGTTTTATGGTTTCCAATTTGCTCTTAGTGTCATTAGTGCCCACATGGAAGATCAGCAGAGGGTAGTAGTCTGATGCATGGACCAGCCTTGGTAGTCTTTCCACAACATCTCTTATTCGAGCCCCTGGCAGGCAGCAAACCTCTCTGGACAAGAGATCAGGTCAGCAGAGAGGTGCCTCTGTCCCCTGCAGCAGGCAGTCACCCACAACAATCACTCACCACTTCTTCCAGCTGTTCCTGCACAGCACCGGCACCAGGTCTGTCAGGCCAGTTGCCTCCCTTGGAGCCATGCCCAGCTTCTCCTCAGCCTGGAGGGCACTAAACCTGTTCCTCAAAGGCAAATCTTGAGGAGGAACAAGAGCCTTTCTTCTTCTACCAGAAGTGACCAGTTTCCAGCCTTCTTCAGTGTTACAATGTAACATTTCACACCACACAGAGCCCTTAACAACTCTACTGCAGGGAGGGCTGGGGACTCCTGGAGCTGCACAGTCCCCAAGAATACCCTGTCAGTCTCCTGCTCATCTTCTCAGATGCTTTGCAGCCTACTGACTTCCTCCCATAACTCCTTTATTTGGTGATGCAACTGGTCAACCACAGCACACCTCACACAGGAGAGCTGACTATCAGCCCAGGCCCCAGGCACCTCCTGCAGCCTGACACCTGTTCCTGCTGTCAGAGGGTCTGTCCGGGTCCAAGCTTCAGACACAGCTGATGCAGCAACTCCAACAGCCACTGGGGAACGTGCTCTGCAGCATGTCATGACCACACCTGAGGAAGCACACACTGCTACAAGAAATGAAGGTGCCCTCTAGCCCCCTGCTGCCTCTAGGAGCCATGTTCTGGGCCTGGCTCTTATAGAGGCCTCCCCTAGCAGTGACTCACAGGGTGCTTGACCCACCCTAATCAAGGGCCACCTGCATCCAAGACCTCAACTCCCTCTGAGCAGGGGCAACCCAGAGAGCTCATTAGCAGCACCTCCACCTAGCCAGAGCTTCCCAGCAGAACTTGAGGCCTCCGGTAGTTGTCCTTGCCTAGCTCCCTGGCCCCCTGCACCTGCTGCCGGGGGCGTTTCCACCACGCTCGCTTCTTGCCCTGGCATCCAGCCCCAGCCCCAGCAGCCCACGCGCCGGGCAGGCTACGGGATCGCTGCTTGCATGAGCCCTTGTTTGCCCTGTATTGCAGAGTGAGACTGTGATTTGGGGGGGTTTTAGATGA